ATTTTCATGAGAAACTCTGTAGATTATGCACAGCAAAACAAATATTTCAATAATATTTTATTGAAAAATTATAATAATTATCACAATATTTAAAAAATACAAAAGAAATCAAATAATTAATACCATAAACGTTTCAAATAATATTTTCCGTAAATATTATAAATTTTAAAAATACACTAATTTTATTATTAATTTATTAAGTATGACTTGTTTTTGAAACATCAAAACAATTTTGTACTTATTATATGTTATACAAAACCTTAATATTTAAAAATATTTATATTTTCGTCTTTCGCGTCTCCAGGTAACGACTTTTTAGTGTAGCTTTATACCTTTAAACACTTAGAATGTGTGTGTAAGAAAAAAACAATACACGATAGAGTGATAACAGAACATATAAGGGGAAGGGGGAGATCACAGGTCTACATAAAATCACTTTAAAATATTTTTAAAAAATGCTTCGATGCAAAACAGTAGATGGTAAAAATACAAATATCGATCAAAGCATTTTATTGACAATAATAAACAACAAATTGGATTTTTAGTTTAAGGGTAGACAAAATTAGGGTTGACTATAATAATTTGTTGCCGTTGTTATTGCCATTTACCGTAATCAAAATTATAATGAAAATATTTTTCGGATACCTGTTGTCTGTTAATTCTCTCACACATAGCAACCTGGAAAATTACTACGCCCAAATATAATTTTATTCTTTTTTTCAGTTTTGCTTAATACAAAAATATGTTTGATTACAGATTTTTGAGAAAAATGTATAGCTCCACTTTGGATCTACCTATAATCTAATTTTAGTCACAATTACTATCGAAAAAAAAATTAAAGAAAACATTTCCACCTATTCTAGAAGCTTTGCTAATGATTTTATTGCTTTCTCAACGTTTATCGATAGTACTACGTCTGAGGAATATTACATAGAAATTCGGAACTAGTTCGTCTATTTTTTTAAAAAGTTCTAGAGCGCCGTATTTTTAAGTTAAAAAATTTGTTATTTGTTTGGATGTGTTTCTTGAATTTGAAGGGTAAGGTGTGGAATTTTTAAATTTTGGCCCAATCATGTACCTTTAGTTACGATTTATGATTTAAAGATTTGTTACATGAAGAAAGGTTCAGCGGTTGTGGCTTAATAGATATCGTGGGTCCAGCCAATGAAATATAAAGTAAAAACACTTCTTTGTAAAAAGAATCCCTTCTGAGCTTCAAAGTATCGAAGCTAAAATTACTTTTGAAAAGTCTGTTATTATAAGCTCTATTATAATTAATTAGCAATATTTTCCATTCCTCACCATAATCGTTAAAATATACCTCCCTGGCAAATAGTAATAATTCAACGTTTTGGCGACATGGACCAATATAATATAATTATTATGCCCGGTAAATATAGTAATTTCCAACGATTTACGCCGCAATTGTCATGTCATTGGCAAAACTGTATAGTTATACTCGTACCAGCACGCACGTAGGTATAAATAATAATATTTTGCACGTTTCCCCGTGAGTGAACCGCTAGGGTGGATATTGAATATCTCGGCTGGTCCCACTGGAAACAATGAGTAATAGGTCACATTGGTAGCCAAAGGAAACACACTGAATGATTTATATTAAAATGAATCCTAAATCCACTGCGGTCGGTATTGATGACGGGATTTTGCGGCTTAATAATAATTTACAGTACAAACAGAATGCATGCCAACCGGTCAGGCGAAATTTACTGTCTCCTGTGTGTACGGTTGTAATTAACGTGTTGAATGCGATTAAGAACTGTCTACGGCTATGATTTCAAATTATAACCTCACCGCATTGTTTCAGGGACATTTGTCATTTGGCCGTTCATTACTCGGGAACTAAATATTATATTAATTATTGTATCCTACAACATAAAAATGATGATAATATGCAATTTATTGAATTGTAAAAAAAAAATAATACAAAGAAGAAGCTCTCTCCCACTAGTTAATTGAACGATTTTGTTTTCTCGTTATTACTTTCCAGTAGGATAGCTGTAGTGAATTATAATAATACGAACCGCGCTAAAAAAAATAAGATCTAGAGAAGGTAACTGCTCTTTTTCTAAGTCATAGACCCCTCTAGACATTCTAGGTTAGACATTGTAGGTGGACATTCTAAGTTTTTTTTTTGTAGTAGCAGTATCTGTGGGTAAGAACCCAGGGCCGGCTTGGTGAATATTAGGGATATGTGCAAAATTATTTTGCGGGGTCTATTCATGGTTAAGCGTTACTTTAGTTAGGGCCTGGATGACTAGATTAATGAAAATAAAACGTTCTAGCTGAAAACACTACAGTATAAGTGCCTTCTGTTTTAGTTATAAAAAAATTAAATATAAATTAAATAATTGAATGGATAATTTTTAACTAACCACTTATTGTTTATACCAAAAAAGTTATTAACAATTAGAGATTAAATTATTAACCATTTGACGATGTAGGTAATAGATTTTTTTTAGATACGCATTACTTGAATTTAATTTTTACATAAAATAAAAAATATTAGGTGAAGTAGATAAAGTAATAAGTAGTATATATGTATACATATACATAGTTATCGATAACCGATTGCAAAAACAAACTCGGAAAGTATTAATAAAGAAAAACATTAAGCTGGCCCTGATCTTACCAAAAAGTCTGCACATGTCCTATGACTGAAAAGTTAAGATTAAAATAAAACTAGTATTTTTTATTTTTTTTTGTTAAACCCTATAAGAATTAAGAATTAGTGTATTTTAGGGCTCAGAACAGATTTATAAAGCACGGACATTATAAATATGCTCAAAAATTCGGATACCAAAATCGTGGGTTGTACCCAGTAGGGTATGCCATTGTTGTAGATCTCAATGTCGGTGGTTCGACATGTATAAGTGTAATATCTGCAGTCTATTAAAAATTCAAAATTTTACTCATAATTTAAACGTTATTACCCTAATTTATTGTGTAACCCGAGCAAACACAAGTAAAGAACTCAATATTTGTTTACAGCAAACATTTATTTGTTAAATATTTAACAAATTTATGCCGATTCCTCTCGTTCTCAAAAACTAACATTATATCAAGACATGCTTTTGTATAAAATCTTATTAAATCGGTTTATTAGTTTATCCACAACTGTTTGTACTTTTTCCGCATAACAATAAAAACTGTTTTTGATGACTTTTAAACATTGTGAGTAGGGTTTTCCTGAGCTTTTCACACAATGTATAAAGAATAATTAAGTATAACTTATTATAATTATATATTGAAAAGCTTGACTCCAACATTATTTTTTAGTTTCGATGCGGAGCTGAGAGGCTATTGGTTTTACAATGATGTCAGTTTTTTTGTGTCTATGTACACTGTAACTTTTTTAATACTGGGACATTATATGTAAACATTTGAAGAAATTCACTCCTCTGTCTTTTTTAAATAATTTTAGAATTTTTAAGCTATTTTATAAACCTTAAAATAATTCGACTGTGCTCGGGATAAACTGGCAAGTGTAAAATTTGGAATTTTCAGTATTCAAAAATTAAAAATCAAACGCAAATAAGAAATAAAGTAATGTCCTATTTTACACAAACATACAACGACTGATAAAATGGTTGTTTGACTTGGATCGTTTTACCCATAACACCACGTATAGTTTTTCTGAATCTAGGTATGACATAAACTCATTTTCGCAAATTTTAGATTTAGTTTTTCCCGAGCACAATCGAATTAAAAAAGTTGATATGCTACATCGATACATTAAAACTGGTCATATCATGAAATGGAAACACAATTTTTTTTTTATTTTGAGAAATAAATAAAATTACATTAAGTGAATATCTTTTCAAAAAATATTTACATTGTCTAATTTTTTTTATTGTTTAACAGCTACTTTGTAAAATTAAAAAAAAACGACTCGTTGCAAAACTAGACAGCGTACGTATATGTAAATAGTATTAATTTATAAAGTATAGTATGCGTTTTTTATTTATTTTTTGGTTTTGGTAAACAATTAATTATAAAAATAATAATTATAATTATAAAAATAATTAAATCATCCGAATAAAATGCATTTATATTATTTAGTTATTTCAATGAATTGAAATACTTTTTTATTTAACAAAATTAAAGTATAACTTGAATTACTAATTTTGAATACATATAGAACATTTGTTAAAAACTAAAAGTTTTCCACACAACTTCAGTTTTTTAATATGTAATTTATCATTCGCATACTATATTTTATGGGAAATGTATCATTTATGTATAATTTTACCACAAGCACTCATTAGTCAAGTACACTTCATAGGCGTCGAAATGAGATTATTAACTGGGAAGTGCGTGGATGCGAGATATATATAAAGCCTCTCATCCTCTCTCCATTATCATTAAAATAATTTACTTGCAAGTATAATATAATTGAATCAAATCAAACTTTTTTTTTTTGCGGTACAACATGTCAAAACTTTAAAAGTCCCAATAGGAGTAGTAGGCCAATACTTAAAGGCAATAATTAAATAATTAGGTAAATTAAGTAAATTGTCGATAACAATGCGATGCTAAATTGATACTATGTTAATTATGAAAAACTCATTTGACACTGTTGCTTAAGTTCCAATTTTAGCAATACTTTCTTTTTGCAATAAAATTTTAAAAATTACACAGTTGGCAGATGACGGTAAATAATGTGACATTGGTTACCATGCGTTTTTGCTACGATTCACTGTTATTATTATTATTTTAATTTGTACTACCTACAAAACGTATTTTTATAATTAAAAAAAACTAAACAGAACTGCAAATCATTATTACTATTACAGTATTTCGCAGAAAAAGTAAAAACGCAGGCTAACATAAGTGTTAACCGTTAATTGTAACGTGTACAGTGTTACAATATTATGTTATAAAAATATTATAAAAAATATAAATAAATGTATTTACATGTTTGTTAATCTGCATTTATGTATATTAGTAGGTAGATAAAATATTAACTATTACGAACTTACCTCGGTTGAACAACGTTAACAACGCGAACACGCGGCCTGCAGTAATTCTTCCGGGCCACATGATCTATGCAAAAGCCACAAGTCGCTGTCAGTCGCCGCAAGCACAACGTGGCCAGTCGACGGCCGGACTTGGAAGAATTTTGGTTCTTTAAATATTTATTCAATAACAATTATTACCGTCGGTTACGGATTTATTGGCTCTCGAAAACGGTAGAATGTTAAAGGCAATTTTTTACCCCATATTCCGGTATTTATTAAATGTATTATAACTACACCGGAACTCGACGTTTTCTGCTCAATTGAGTTATCGGCCAATGTGTGTGTGTTTGTGGTTGTATGTGTTCGAACACTATGCACAACGCACGCGGTTCGACGGTTGCGGGGCGGGCATTGCAAAAGAAAAGCGTGAGAGTGCGTCGCCGCCGTTTGAACTTAACAGCCGGTAGACACCACCCGGTGTTTGAGAGGGGAATTGAGGGGGGGGGGTTAGCGTTTCGGCCCCGTCGACGGTTTTTTATTACACGTGAATACCGACCGTGGTATTTCTGCTCGTTTTGTTTGCACAAAAAAAAAAATAAAATCGTCGCCCAATTTGAAGGGAACGGTTTTTTTTTTTAAGTAAATCTAACGTAAGGTAATGTGTTTTTCTAGAATCCACGAATACGTGAACGGAAATTTTAATTTTAATATACATATAAATGTGTGCCAATACACACACACGCACACACACATACATATAATAGTGTGCAAATCTAACCCTATATAAATGTACCCCCGCCTCAACTCCACTGTTTACATGTCTATGCGCTACGATAGACAGCACCTTCTTTAACAGCATTTGTTTCGCTTAAGTATATATTTATACATATTCGAGTATACAGCAAATACTTATTACCGTCTCCGTTAAGACGTCCGTTTCGCTTAGGCCCAAAAATTAGCGCACGTAGAAATATTTACATTTTTTTTAACCAATGGAAAACCAATAATTTCCTCTAGTATCACGGGTGACCATTTAGCGATTTCCATTGGAGAGAACGCTAGTTGGATTAAAAACTAAAATCGAAAATGCATTAAATAAAACAATAATAATTATTTATAGAAAAAAAGTTACAGTCTACTTAAAGCCTAACGGCTAAAATTATAAAACATGGAACACGTTTTAGCCTCCTGGCTCCTGAATAGTGATTATTTCTGATCTATAACCTTGCGATTTATGATGATAGTATAGTCTTAACTATATGTTCTGGCCAAACGTTTGCATGACGACAACGACTCGTTATTATTTCGATGGCATCTTATATGTTATTATACGTTTAAGTTAGGCGCGCTACTTGGGTATCGCAATTTAATGTCGTTTTTGGACTGGGGGCCAAGGCTAAAGCATGTTTCATGCTAAAATATACTACTAATCTATTTCTGGCTATCGTTCATAGCTGTTGTAACTACCAAAATTATACTATTATTAATAATAATACTATACTTAAAACTTAAAAAAATGCATAGGTTTATAATAATTTAGAGGTGTTACCAATGGGTAGCTTCCTTTCCGTTATGCCCTGTTATAATTTAGGTTAAAAAAAAAACTTATTGTACATACATATTTGTATAGATTGTTTTTGTAAAATAAAATAAAAAAATAAAAAGGTTTATAATAATAATAATTTATTTTTATTAACTTTCGTTATTATCTAGTTACAACTATTATTATTTATTTATATTTTAATATATTATTTACTTCGACATTGTAGCTTCTTTTATGAAAAATTGTATTATTACAACGGTAGTACTCTTACCGGATGGTTATTATCAAGCTTGATTATTATTTTATTAGCTGTATTTGTTTTTACCAAAAAATAATTTATTTTCAACATACTGACATGAACGTAGAAAATCAAACAAATTTTATGGTGGGGGGGGGCTATAAAAAATTTTGGTGAGACCTCCGGTTTTACGCCTATGACAGATGTATTTATTTACTACTTCCTCGTTCTTTGATAATACGTTATTGCTATTCGGGATAATACACAGTGCGTACAAACTTTTAATTTAGTACATATATATGGACCAAACGTCTTTAGGGATAGTTAGTACTTAGTAGTAAAGGAAAAATTGTTGTTAACAATTTGTTAACAACTGTACGAACAATAAACTGGTGCGAGCTGTAAACAGTAATGATTTAAACCGAAAACTCACTTTTAATCACGTTACGGTTAAGTAAAAAGGAAAAATATTTTTACATTTTTTAATGAGTATGTTAATAGATGTGTGGTAGTGTATGGTCGTTAATAGTTTGAAAATTGTTCATTCTGTTCATCGTTGTTTATTTTGTAATTTATACTGTGCAAAATAAAATAAAATATTGCAAAAATGTACCTTATCTAACATAAAAGATACCCAAATGTGTGAAAAGTGATATCAAAATTGACCCGTCCTGTGGTCGTCCGCAAAACCCATTTACAGATTGCTCATTGAAAAGAAAAACAAAGGAGTAGAAGATCTAGTTGCTAATAAATCAACAGAAGAGCTTCTCTTCACCGCAACACCATATGCGCCCATCCGAAGTATGTTGCTATAACGAACATATCAGCGTACGCGGAACTCCAAGAAATCTTGAACATTATTGTTGACAGCATTTAAAAATTAATAAGTTTTAACTAAAACAACAATTTCAGTACCTTGAAGCCACAGTACTGATACACAATGTACGAATGAATACTTATTTTTTTTTAGCTTTTGTAAATAGTACAGTTAAAGTTAATTATAACTTTAAAACAAGTTGATTATATCTTAGCAGGAGATCGATATACATTTATTAAGACTTTATTATATGTTAGTAAGATTTTCTAAAAAAAAAAAATCTTAGATGTCTACTATTTCTGACTAACAATGGGCGTTTTTGAACACTGAGATGCGACGTTATGACTCAGGTTACTTATGTATATTAAAACTGAAACTTATTTTACAAAAATTGTTATGTGCATTATTACAATATTCAATTTTAAAAGACATAATATATTTATGAACTAATACGTAGTTGTGAAAAACTATATGACAGTTTAAAGTTAGGCGAAGAAGGTGCGGTAAAAAGCGAGGGTGGCATCAATGACCTGAGACCGAGTTTCAAAGTAAATGACAAGACTAATGTGTTAGCGTTTACACACTTCTCTATTCAATTCTCAGACAGCAACAACACGGCAACCGTTTACGTTTAAGAGTAACAAGCGTCATCCATAAAATATTCGTTGAGTGATGATTGACGTTAGGCTAAAAATTCACTATTGAACTTTACAAATTTAAGACTTTGATATATACATTAAACTTCCGGGATCAATATAAAGCACCATAAGTACAAGTTTTGGATCATAGCTCGAACGTACTATATCAACACTTATAACATATTCTTTTTCATTTAAAAATTGATGAAACGTCGTAAATTTTACATTGAACAAAGATAATACATAAAACTACAAAGTGTGAACACAGGCTTTTAATGTTATACAGATCTCAAATGACAATTTAATGATTTATAAACTTAGTGTTACAAAACGAAAATATTTATACAAAAAGGATCTCTCAGAAGTTGGTGACTGGTGAGCCTCTCATAATTAGTAGCTAAAGAGTAGCACACAAACAATTCTACAAAAACTCATAGAACGAGCCGAAATGATTTTCTTCCCATTTGACAAAATTGAATTACATAAAAATGCTAAAGCAGGTGGTATAATATTGAAATTTCATGCAATAGTGGGTGATTACTTTTAAAGTAATTATTTTAATTTTATAATTCACTTGTAGAATTTAATTAAAACTAGTAAATGTCTCTTAAAGTATTTTAAGATACATCTTGTAATCTTTAAAAAAGTTTTTGTTAAAATGAGATAAAAATATACTACTTTAAAAAGACTGTATCGTAGCACATTACAGTGGCATGTAATATATCAAAATAAACAATTACAGCTCTAATAAAACAAAATAAAAGTTGTATAAATAATGTAAACTATTTTTTTTCGAGTGTTTTGAAATTTTAAATAACAAGTTACTTCCTTGAAGTACTGCACACGATTTACAGTAAAGTAAGTTACATATATTTTATTGCTAATTTTTATCAATCAAATTATGAAAAAGATTCTTAGGTTGATCGATATTTTATAAGAAGCTGCGTTGATACATGAGTTAGTCGATTTTACTTTGAACCATTAATCGTAATTTGAATTAATAGTTTAAAAAATATATAATAACCGTATTGTATATATATTTGACATATACATATAAACTTCCAGGATATAATAATAACGACTCGTTATTATTTCGATGGCATATCTTATATGTCATTAATTATTATGCGTTTAAAGTAGGCGTGCTACTTTAGTATCGCAATTTAGTGTCGCTATTTAGCGTCGTTTTCGGGCTGGAAGGCTTTCAGTAATCAATACTTTCCTTAATTAAAATTTTTGAACTCAACTCCAGTTCAAAAAAATAAAATATGGATTACCTACTATTGTAATCCACTCGACTTCTGGTGTCATTAAATGCACGCGACCAATGCAAGGTGAGGTTTGAAAATAAGTTATAATTATTAGAATTATTTCGGATTATTACTTTTGCGCATATTTAAGTTCAAATTCAAGGGCGCCCACAGGTAGGGGCAGGGGATGACAACCCTCCCTCAGCTTCTCTGCAAGTTAAAAAATGTATATCCAATATCCCAAATTTGTAAAATCTATTACAAAATTATAGGCCCCCCCCCCCCATGAATTATCACCTGCGGGCGATATAAATAAATAAAAATAGTTGTAACTAGATAATAACTAGAGTTAATAAAAATAAATTATTATTATTATAAACCTATGTATTTTTTAAAAATATTTATTTGTTCTATTTATAATAGGTTAAATGGTTTGGCAATGCTAAGCATCCATCGCAATATTTAAGTATATGTAGAAACCGTTGAATGATATAGCTCTGAACCACCAAGAATTTATATTGTTTTGTAATATAAGCAGGCTCCGAGCAAGCTTGTTTCATGTGTGCAAGGTTTCTTCAAAGTAGAGAGGGATTATATAGTGGTTTTTAAAAACGCCAAAAGTCGAGACGACAACAATTATGAAATAGTATAGTATTATTATTAATAATAGTATAATTTTGGTAGTTACAACAGCTATGAACGATAGCCAGAATATAGATTAGTAGTATATTTTAATTTTTAGCATGAAACATGCTTTAGCCTTGGCCCCTAGCCCAAAAACGACATTAAATTGCGATACTAAAGTAGCGCGCCTAACTTAAACGTATAATAACATATAAGATGCCATCGAAATAATAACGA